ACTAAGATGGGTACAGAGCGTCCGAAATAATCGCAAACATGCTTCGGAGCCGCATCAGAAAGAATAAGCAGGACGGGCGTAAGAAAGACCGATGGGCAAGTGGTGAGGCCGAGGCTGGATGGTAGCACCCTAACTACCTTGAAATACGTATTGAGAAATGGGTGAATTCTGGACATGGCTGGTTGGAGCTAAGCTCTCTTCGGTTTAAGGTGGAGTGGAAAATAGGATAAGTACGCATGATGTTTCAGCACAACCATACCGAGTAGGCTGCAATCACGAACTGGCAGGACGTTTCGTATTAAGTAGGTTTGGGAGGGTATCGACGTAATTTGGAGGATTGAACTAAGTGACCTGAACAGACACACATACGGCCAGTCTGAAGGGGCATCAAAGCAGACCAAAAGCCCCAACAAAGGGTTTGGCAAATGTACGAGGCCAGACAGGAAAGAGGGTAAGCTCGCGAAAGATCAATAACAATCAGAGTTAGTGGCCCTGAAGAGGGCCTTGGAGGCGTTCGCTCGGTCAGATACAAGGTCCATCTACTTTGAGCCAGTGTACTTGGTCACGGCCTTAGTGCCCTCGGACACTGCATGCTTGGCCAGCTCTCCAGGGAGTAGGAGACGCACTGAAGTCTGCACCTCACGACTGGTGATTGTTGACTTCTTGTTGTAGTGAGCCAAGCGGCTGGCCTCGGCGGCAATGCGCTCGAAGATATCGTTCACGAAGGAATTCATGATAGACATGGCTTTAGAGGAAATGCCGGTGTCGGGGTGGACCTGGCGGAGAACCTTATAGATGTAAATGGCATAGCTCTCCTTCCTCCTCCTTTTCTTCTTCTTGTCCGTCTTAGGACGCTTCACCTTGGAGGCCTTCTTGGCAGCTTTACCAGATACTACTTTAGGGGGCATGGCGAGAACAAACGCTATCGGAGATTGACTATTGTCAGCGTATATTTATAATATTTTAGCTCAAAATATAGCCTTATCGCTTCTAAGCCACTGATTGGTTGACGGCACAACCATTCAGCGTGCAGCAATTGCTTCAATTCCTATTGGCTT